TGGCTCCACCCACTCACTAGCTGCGCCTCACAAAGATATTTTTAGACAACATTACCAGCCTTCAACCTTCACATTTAAGTAGTAGGTTTTTGAAATTCTGCGCCTCATACTATGTATATGTTTGTATCCCATTTACCACAATCCTTTCGCTGATTCAGCACCACCACTAATCCGCTCTGTGCCTAACTGGGGCTAAGTACCGCCTATGTCTAAGTGGTCCCCAAAAGCCGCAGGTAACCCTAAAGTTGCGCTCTTAGTCGCATTTGTTTGCCACAATTCGCCTTGACTTTCAACCTTCTTCAGCTTTAAGCGTCTTAAACGCACTTGGCAAGCACAGCACAACCCTCTCAGAGCTCAGCAGCTCATCGCGAATTCAATAACAACAGCAACAACGGCAACAGCAGCAATGGGGCACAAAATGTTGAGCGGTGAGGATGGCGGCAGCACGGCAAAATCTTGATGCCATCTCCTAAGCCACCAAGAAATGCAATAAAAAATTGCCGAAGCACGCCCCAGGCGGGACGCAAAAGACAATCAAAAATTTGATTTTTACGTATGCGTAACGGGTATTTTTTTTTCTATTTTTTCTTTCTTTTTGTTTCGTCTTCCTCTGTCCTCTCTGGCGCTCGTCTGTGCTGGCATGGAGAGTTGGCGGAATATTAAAAATCCAACGCAAATATGCACCCAAATTTTTGCAATGTCTTCGTCGTGCGAGTTTCAACTTTTGTTTTTTACTGTTTTTTCTTTCTGTTCGTTTTTGTTTCAACTGCTTTACATGCAGCAGAGCCAGAGAACGAAAGAAAATGAGGGAATATGTTAGTTGACGTGAAACAGACGACTTTGAAGTCCTGTTATACCCTATAAATAGCCAAAAGTATAATCCAATTGATTTTCTAAAACATTTTCACCCTTAAGTGGGTGAAATTGCATTGGCCAAAAGTATAATCGAATTGATTTTCTGAAACATTTTCACCCAAAAGTGGGTGCCAAACATTTAAAAACTCTGGAAATATGTAGTTTTAATCTGAAAATGCAGATCTTCTTATCCCAACTATTTTTTCGTTTCGACTTTTGATTCAAATTTTTAACAATGTTAGATAATTTTTAATCTAAAAAAATACAAACTTGAAACCGTGAAAGAAAACATTAGAATTGCAATATATTTAGGAGTTCAAATAACTTAAAAAAAATAAGTCATCATATATTTTGGAACAACATGAACAACAAAATTGCATTCCTTTTATGAGTAAAGAACATATTTTTTACTAAAAGCTGACAACTACATATATAAAAGACAAGATTTGCATATGATTTAAATTTCGTATTTTTCAACAATTTATAAGCAATGTTTCCTCTAATAGATTTTGCCCTTTTTTGAAGAAGAGATCCGAATCAGTTGTCAGATTTAATGACTGTTCAATTCCAATAACGTACCAGAAAAATACAATTCTTTTTTATTTATGCAGCTATACCTTTTATGAATATAATTTAAAGTCCTATTTCTTTCTTGAGATTCGATTTTATGCAAAGTTGATATATTCTACATATTTCTTAGTCTGTTGTAAAGCTGTAAGGGTATGCCATTGTCGCAAGCACTCGACTTGTATTCTTTTTTTTATCGCTGAAGTTCTCGCTGCCACGCTCCACGGCGTTTGTTAGCATAATTTTGGGCGCAGCGACGAATTTTAGATTTGTGCACTTGTATCTGTAACTCTGTGCCTAGCTATGTGTCTGTGCGAGCTTGTACGTGTGTGGGTGTGTTTTTGTGTGGGTGTGTGTGTATGTGTGTGTGTGGCTGGTGCATTACAAACAAATAGAACGCCATTTTGCATGTGGCCAGAATGTTAACGGAAATAGAGCGAGACAGGCACGACCGATAGTAGCATCCACATTGCAGGTATAAAACCAATTACAGTCGTAAAAATATAACACAGAATGATGCTAACGATGACGAGGACAATGACGATGACGATGACAACGACAACCCATCGCCTTGTTTTCCCTGCCAAATTGAAATCAACAACGACAACAGAATAACGACAATGAGAATGAGAATGGAAATGAAAATGAATACGAAAATGAAAATATGGCAAAGCATAGCATGCGTTAGACAGTGTTGCAAAACTTTTCATTCAACTAACCGTATAGCGTGTTGGTATTACAATTTGTTTATTTTTTATTTTTAATTTGCATTCGCCGAAAAGTTTTGCTGCACAAAATAATAATAACAATCATAATTATAATAATAATATTGCCATGCTATGCATTATTTAGTTTTCGGCCAAGCCAAGAAACTTTTTTAATTAATTATTAAGTACGTGCGCCGCACAATTTGTTCCCCCATTTCCGCCATATTATGCGATTTTATGGCGAATTTTGTAAGCAAATGTGCCGCACGCCTGCCTGCATCTAAGTATGTGCAACACATTACAATTTGTCTCAGTTTTTGCTCTTATTTGCCGCCATTTGAACGTTGCACACCCACACAGATTCACATACTCGTACAAGTCATTTGAAGCTTGTGCCATATGCTCGCAAAAGTTGTGCTCAGAAACAAGTTCGACAACAGTGGATTAAGGATATGAATCGTTGGCAAAATCATAATTATGAAAAGGGCAACTTTAGACAAACCAGAATTGCATTTTGTGAAATAACGATTTATATATTTAAAGCCTTTCCCTTTGGAAAGATAAAATATCTTTGATAAGAAATGAGAAAGCAATCCTCTACATTTAGAGCAGAATGCAATTGAGCGCTTTGTTTAATAAAGAATTTAATAAAATAAAATGTTATAATTACGCCCAAAACAACTAATTAGTTAAGCATTCGAGTTTTAAGTTCATAGCTGAATGCTTTTAAAAATCTTTGAAAGTCGCTAAATGAAATGTATAATTTTGAGTGGATCCCTAATTGTTTAATATTTCAGAGACAAAAATTTCCCATTTCAAATAATGAAAAAACAACCGCTAACGAATGCGGGGAAGAGCAATGTGCAAGCAGTTTATAGTAAACAGTAGAGCTGGATAAAACATCGATATCTACATCGATATATCGATGTTTGGGCAATATCGAAAACATCGATGTTTTAGCTGCCAATATCGATAAGCGGGTACTTTTTGAAATTAAAAAGCGTAGAAGCAGGATGAAATATTTTACAAGTAGTCCCATTTTTTGTTATTTATTAATTGGATTTAAATATATTTTTTATGAATGTAATAGGAACCATTTTTTTTTTTTTGTGATGATTCATTGAATTCTGTAGCCAGGCAGATCATATCCGTGACGTAATGTGCCTCTGAACGCACTTTTAGCAAAGCTGGCCAAATAATAAGAAAGTAGAAGGTTTTAAAAAGCAACAACATAATTAAGTTGTTATTTTTGAACAAAAATATTGATCTACCAAATAAAGGCTTAAATTTTGAAAACATCGATATTGTTACAGCTCTAGTAAGCAGTTCGCATAAAGCTAGGCGAAAGGCAAATAATATTCGTTATTATAGATATTTTTGTAATTTGATTAGATTTCTCCTTTTTCGGCTTTTTGCGCTTATAAGTTGCTTTTTATAACTTTTAAATATTTTTCTCCTATGTCGACAGTCATATGTTTGTTGACTTATGTCAACAATAAATAAAATAAAAAGCTATTTCAGTAAGCAAGCAGTTTCCACGAATGGCTGAGCAACGTTATTAATTAATTATTTAATACGCATTTTAAGGTTTTAGGCACAGATTGCATAATTATTGAAAACTCTTTAAGATCTGCACGAATACAACAAAATGCAGAGTATTCAAATGCAGCCCGAATTTCTGTATTTCGTGCGATTCGCACAAAAGCCAAATTCGTGGGAGTTCTTGATATTCTGCACATGAATATTAATTTGGTTGAAAGAGGTCCGTCATTATTATAATTGCTTTCTACCACTGCGTAGGCGCACGAGCGCTCGCATTGAGGAGTCGAGTTACATGGCTGGTTTTCGAGAGTTTAATAAACATTTTTGATGCCTTGCAGCACATTTTGGATATAGTCTAATGTTTATTTTGGTTTTCAAATTAAAAGGGCAACAACTGTAAACGTTAGCTGTCAGTTTGACTGCAAAACCGTTTGTATTTGACATGAAAAGACCGTTCACTGTTAGCGCTCGTACAGGTCCAAAAAATTGCGTAAATTTTCACTCTATGTAGAGCTTATAGAACACTTGCTATGTTCTCACCTATTAGAGACGAGTTTGTAATGATAGTTTGGTCAGAAGAGCTTAAACAACATCAGGAAAAACAAACATTCATTTCAGTTAAGTTCTGCACTACTTTTTGGAAATTTCGTGTATTAAGTCGTAATTGGCACAAAGAGTCAAGGCCTTAAATATAAACGCTCCTCCTTAAATATAAACGCTCGCGCTGAGCAAGTTCTTATCTTCATGCCAAACGCTTATAGACCAACCCATAACCTTAAAGTAATTGCTTTTCATGCTCCAAACCTCCGCTGCTCATTGCTTGCGTGCCAAGAAACAAAAAAAAAAAAAATGCTACCAACTTGCCTGAAAGCAAAAACACGGAAAAGAAAAGAAAAATCGCCCACTAAACAGCTTAAAACACGTCCCAGGCCATTTCCTTTAATGTTCCAAGTGTATGAAGAAAATTCGTGCATTTAAATAACAACAACAACAACAACAACAACAGCGTTGACGGCATGCAAATGAAGAAAACAAAGTACAATAATACGAAAAAATAAAAATTAAAGGAATTGTTACAACAACAATAAGCAGCAACCTACTAACAACAGCGACAATTATCATAACAATTATTATAATCATAAGCATAAGCATTATAATTATACCAACAACAGCAACAACAAAAACACATCTACATGAACAATTGAAATGCATATTACTTTGTAACTAATACACGCACAATTTTCTGTGCTTTCTCCCCTCTCTCTCTCTCTCTCTCTTTGTTTCTTTCTATCTCTCTCTCTCTCTCTCTCTCTCTCTTCCGCAATACAGGACGGGCCGGAATCAGCCACCGATGTACACGGAAACGCTGCCCGGCGAAAGCTTGGCTCTGATGATTAGCTCCCTGTCCGTGGAAATGGGTGGAAAATATTATTGCACAGCCTCGTATGCAAATACCGATATGATGGAGACGAGTGTCATAATCAAAACATACGGTAAGTTCTCCCCATTCTTTAAGGTGTAAGTTTCAGGAGATACTGAACTTAAGGGGCTTAACATTTTCCCCTTTAATAATTAATTCAGACTGTAATTTTTTGAACTCGAACAACCAAAAAACAAAGTTTATTCTGGCCTTAATGTAAAACTAGATTGAGCTTCCATCTTAGGTAGCAGTACACCTGCTAATAAAATATGATACAAATTTTTAATTCAAAAAAATAACCGTTTGTATCAAAAATTAAATGTTATATAAAACATTTTATTAAAATGTATACATTTTTTGTGCGCCTAATTGATTTATTTGATGGCTTAAAAATAAATGCCAAAACTTGCGATGAGTCTATTAATTTTATAAACGAAAATGTAAATAGGTTTTATTATAAATAATACCAAGTATAGTGATTATTTTTAACTATCTATCAGAATATAATGATTAATTTTGGGTTATAATTACTTACAACTCAACTGATAATCATTATTTTATACAATGAAAACAAAAAACTCTTAACATAATGATTATTCCTTGAGTTTTATTTGGAATCATAAAATTGTCGTAATTTTGTCTTTTTCATAGGGCATAAGAGTATATATAAATTTATATATGTATATTCCTAGCCACTGACGAATAATATATATAATATCTGAGTTAAAAATAATCACTACATTCTGAGGAAATGATTACAAACTTTATATTATTAAATTATGCTGAAAATGCGCAAATTATCCTTAAAGAAATATTGGAATATTTCTTGAAGTTTCTTTTTTGCAGTCCCTCAAAAATATTTGAATATATAATACATGATTAGATATAAATTTTAAAATGACAACCACAGCTTAGAAAGAAAAGACTTAGGTGGATTGTGGTAGGTCGGGAAGAACGGCATTATTGCCAAATAAAAAACTTACAAAATATTTTAAATATTATAATAAAAAAAGTGCTTAGCGTTCGGTAACGAATTATTCTTATCACTAGCTTTTCTGCATTATTAAAAACAAATATAACGTTGATACGCCAAATACATTTATAACAGACATAAGGTTATAGATACATATACGATCAGCATGACGAAACGATATAGACATGCTCGAACCATAATGCTTGAACCATAATAGCAAGGAATCAAAAATGTTCTATATATATTTGTTTTATCCACACAAAAATCACGTTTACAGCAAGCCATATATACACCCATTATTTTATATAGCTGCCTTAGGGGCGATCTGTGTAAATGCACTCTTAATAGAATAACTTTTTTGTGTATTTAAATATCTTAAGAAAGTTTGACGATTGAAAATCACTCTTAATTCTGAAAACTTTAGAGTTATCACTAACTATAATTGAAAGTTTCTGTGAAATAGACTTACTATATCATAAAGCTGTAATAGGAATGATTAGCTCTGTGGGAGAAATCGATTCGATTCTAATAGAGCGAAAGAATGCTTTATTTCGGTAGCTGGGCTAACTATTTCTGCGGCATTATTCAAACCAGCTTAAGTCCAGTGTCTATCAGTATTATCAGCCCTTTTCTGCTTCTTATCGTTAAGCCAACTAAAGGAAACAATAAAAACTGCAAATGCGTACTTCCATTCGGCGATGCGTAACTGTAGCTCTTCAGTGTGGGGGTACAGTTGTGTGCAAAAGCTGTGCGGGGGTACAGTTGTGTGCAAAAGTTCAGCAGTTGTTGCTCTATTAAAAATTTCAATGGCTATGTTCCTTAGCCACAATGCAATACAACGGCAAGAGGTGGCCAAAATAAACTTTTACAGGCTCAACCTAAAACACACACACACAGATAGACACACACACGCACACATACACACATACATATACACAACAATTTTGCTGCCTCGTTGACTTTGTGCCGGAGAGGAAGAAGCTTTGGCCAACTGCACATAAGTGGCGTTGCAGCCAAAACTTTTACGAGATTGATTTTTCTAAGCAATTTAAAGTTCGTACTGGCACTAACTGCCCGCACATAGCCCTCGAACAGCAACGACCAACGACCTGTCCTACACTCCCACACACACACACACCCATACACACGCATAAGCTGCCTTTACCAGCCTCCCCTCCAGTGCCTGGGCTTGGTTGCTGGAGGGCATGCCTTGAGCAAAAAGTAAACTCCATTGAGCGCCGTTGCGTTCGAAATTAAATCAAATATTTTGCTGTGCAACAATTTGTGCCAGATATTGATACATGCCGGTCCGTGTACGGCCAAAGAAAGGTACGCAAGCGGAGTGCACATTACACAGAATGGAAATGGCAAATTGGGGAAATGGGAAATGGCCATGCCTAGGGAGTGCGTGAAGTATTGAGAGTGTGTATTGCAGTCGGCTTGTTTCTGATGTTTGTCGGCCAAATCAAATGTAATATGTGCTTGTTTATTTTGCTTGGCCCAACAATAAACCACCATAGACACACGGCCAATACGATTTGCAATGCTGTGGCCAACCTATCCTATATAGGAAGGATTGAGGCGTAGTTTGATAGTTTGCCGGACTGGCAATCAAATTCTCCTTCACCGGGTTGGAGATTCTTCTCTTTTTCCTTCTTACTTTATCTAATTAGCTCTTAAGTAGAATTAAGTTTTCTTCTCCACTATTTTTTTGTTATTATTATTATTATTTTTTTTTTTTTTGTGAGATTGTTAGAATGTCTCTGATTAAAATATAATATAAAACATATTTTAGTAATCTGTATAGACAGCACAATTTGTTGATCTATTAAAATCAAATGAAATAAAAGAAAAGAAAAGTACTTGCGTTTTGAAATCAGACTAAATTAAAGGCCCCTCCTCAGCGCTTCTCATACAAACAAGCATTCCTTTCGGCTCCCTGATACTTACTTTATTCATTTAAAAATTATCATACTTTTTTTTTTCTTTAAAAAGACATAAACTAGATGATGGTAAGCTATTAATTAAAATCACAAAAAAGCTGCACACTAATACGTTCTTTGAGCTTCACAAATAAAATAAAAAATTAAAAAAAAAAACACTTGTGACTTTTTCTAATCCTCAGAAAAAGCAAAAATTAAAATGATTTCGTGCAAAGGCTGCTGCTAAGGGCGCTTTCAAAAGACTCACCTGGCACAAGTCGTCCGACTCTATGGCTATAGCTATATATTCACTGTAGTTACGGGCAACGCTGTAAAGTATGCTATGCAAATGGCATACCAAATGCTTGAATGCAAACTCTTAACTGGTGGCAGTTCATTTGCTGGCTCAAAAGCAGAACAAGCGACAAGCACGTTCCTGCTTCTGTTTCTGTTGCTGTTGCTGTCTCTGCTGACCACCAAATCATACACAAGCTCAGTGACAAGAACAACAACAACAACAACAACAGCAACGAAAGCAAGAGAAGCATGAACAACTAAGTTGCCTCCTCGCATTGTGTTGACAACTCATAAGTTGCATTTAGTTAGGCAAATAAGCTGTGGCAGGCGAGCGCGGCAGGTTGCTGCAAATAGCAGGCTTTACTTTACTTTACTTTAGAGTTAGCACGTATGGAGGCGTGTGTGTGTGTGTGTGCAAGTTTCAAAGCTGGCCCCACCTCCTAGCTGATGCCAGGATATATTTACATAACGCTGTTTGTGGCAGTCACAGCTTAATATTTCAATATTTATGCTTTTAATAAATGCATATGCTAAAACAAACTTCCGTTGCTGCAGCAACTTCCGCTACAGCTTCTACTGCTGATGCTGCTGCTACTGCTGCTGCTACTGCTGATACTCCTGCCAAAGGGGCTGGCAATCAGACATAGAGTCTAAGGCTAGCTCAGCAATCGTAGGTGCCATGTTTTGGGGAAAATCCAAACTAAAGATGTGTGCGTGACAAAAGAAACAAATTCGCAAGTTTAATTAAAACGGCACGACAAATATCGTCCGTTAAATTAGATTAGATCAAGAATATCATAGCTGGCCAAATGGCAAGTAATATTCCCCCAACGGGTCGGAGGCCTGCATAGACGTTATTGTACAGTTTTTTCATAGGCTTTCTTATCTTTCAAGTTTAAATTATAACATAATAATATAAAAAATTAAAATGAAGATGCGTGTTAAAACAATAATTTTTAATATTTTAATACACCTAACCTAATAGATTGGTAATATATGTGGGATTTGGTCTATTTAGCTAGTTTAAGTAAATAGACTTGTGGGTTTTGTTTATAGTGTTTAATATAAAAGTATTGGATATTGAATTAAAAGTAAAAGTAAAACAGACCAATCCCACATATATATTGTATTAATTGTAATAAAATGTATCGACAGCACTACTTGTTGATTTATTAAATAGGTAAATAAGTAAAAAATTAAATAAATAAATAAATAAATAATTAAATAAATAAAAAGGAGCTAGCAGTAATCCCACAATGTTAGTTTGTTTCATGTGTTAGGCACTCGGTTCGGATGAAGAAATGTCGAAGTTATCGTAAAATTTAATAATTGTTCAACCTAGAACAGATCTTAAGCACAGATTAAATATTTACAAAAAAAAAAACTTCTAATAGAACAGATATGCTTAATACATTCCTATACTTTCTCTCTAGTTTTCTGTCAAATGAAAATTCAGAAGATAAAATCGATCTGAATGATTGCTAAAAATTATTATATTGATTAAAAATTTATCATCTATCTTTACATTATTGAGTATTATTGTTATTGAACATCTAGCTAGACCAGATGGACACATGAGGCTTATAACCAGCAATTTATATAGTTTTTAAAATGAAACTGCTTATGTGAGGATTTTGGATGCTGGTTCAGCAACATTTCTATCTATTTTTAGCGGGTCTTATAGCTAGAAATTAACGGCGTTTCAAGCGGTTTTTCGAACTATGTTTAGTGGGTTTTTTAGACATTTTCGGCTACTAAAAATTGTTTTCCTTGCAATTTACTAGCGGGTTTTCTACCTAGTCATAGCGCTTTTTTAAGCCATTTTGTAGCGGTTTTCTAGCTCGATAAGCAAAAGCGATAACCATTTTCTACCCAACAATC